TGCCCTCTGCGAGGTCCCATCATGTCCTGACAGTGCTGTGGGGCTGTAACAGTGTCCCTCTGCTTCCCGACAGCTCGCTGAGCCAGTGGGTGCACGCTTGTGATGCTCTGGACCTCCCCATGCTGCAGCGAGAGGAGCTGGACGCCTTCATCGACCAGCTCTACAAGGACATCGAGAAGGGTGAGGCTTCGATGGGACGGGCAGCGTTTGCAGGAGCTCGCTGAGTTTCTGCTGCTGGGATGTGGGGAGTGGGAGAGGTTCCCACTGGGGACTGGGAGATCCCACGTGAGTTTTCGGCTCACTCCATGGATAGGGTAAACCCAGATTTGTGGGCAGCACGATCACAGCAAGTTGGGGTGTCTGGAGAGCTGATCTGGAGGATCCTGTGCAGAAAAGTCCCATTCAGAGACCCATTTATTGCATTTTTGGGGCTGATGCAGCTGTGTGAGTGCAGGGCCAGACCGGGGAGCGTCTGCTTGAACTGGGGGTGCAAATATTCACGTCCTCCCCACTGGGGAGGGAAATCACCCCCCAACACCCGCCCCCCAGAGCAATGCTGGTGGATTTCCCGTCGTGTTGATGCCGAGTTTCTTGTGTGGAAGAGCCAGAAAGGCTCATGCAAAACTCTTAAATCCCCTCTCTGTGCTTGCAGAGTCAGGAGAGTTCCTCAACTGTGAGGGATCTGGTCTCTACGTGCTCCAGAGCTGCTGTAAGTGACACAAGGGCTGGGAGGAAAACTGGTGGTGAGGAGGGGGTGTCCTGCCTCACCTGTTCTTCAGAGCTTTTGAGGAAAGGAGTGTGTGCTTCCCATCCCTGGGATGGGGATGGGGATGGGATGTGGTGGGTGCTGCCCTGGGGCCTGGCTGCTCTCTCGGGGTCTCCTGGCTATGAACTGCTCAGTGCTGGTTTGAATGGACCTGGATGTGATGCAGTCTCTGAGATGCAGTTAGCAAAGAGACCATCTCCATCCTCGTCTGAGCAAAACAGAGCTCAACAAACTGTTAATGGAGGGAGCTTTTCTTGGCTGGCCCATGGGGACGTGGATTTCCCAGCACCTGGAGCTTCCTTCTTAAGTGCTGATGGTGGAGTAGCAACAGGCAGGGCCTGGGGTCTGGTTGCTGGGAGAACTGGGAAGCAGGGAAAAAGCACTGCCCTCTGTGTCCTTTCCTTAGCACCTGGAGGCAGGGGATGGTGCTGAGCATCCCTGGGGTTGATCCAGGACTGCTCGCTCTCTCCGAGTTGTTTTTGTGGGTAGTGGGGTCCCCAACCCTGCCTCTGCCTTCCCCTTCCTCTGGAGACTGCTCATGGCTGCATTCCGACTTCCCCACAGGTAACCACAGCTGCATCCCCAATGCCGAGACATCCTTCCCCGAAAACAACTTCCTCCTGCATCTGACGGCTCTGGAGGACATTGAAGCAGGAGAGGTGAGACAGCGGGGCCCGGATCAACCCGGAGTGGCGTCGTCCCTGTGTCCCCTACTTCCCCCCCCAGAGGAATTCACACCTCATCCCACTTAGGGGCTGCCAGACCCCGTGTTTGTCCAAGAGGGATGGGTACAAATTGGGCTGCTTTGGGTTTTTGGGAAGTGATGCTCAGCCCGATGTGTTTCTCTCTGCCCGCAGGAGATCTGCATCAGTTACTTGGACTGCTGTCAGCGGGAGCGGAGCAGACACAGCCGCAACAAGATACTCAGGTAGGGGCTGCTTGGAGGAACCCCCGCGGGGGGACACAGGCTGGAGCTCGCTGCTCGCTCTTTTCAGGGGCTGTAGCCCCAAGGACTGAGGATTTGGGCCCCCCGCTCTTGCTCTGCTCTGCAGTTGGCTTCTTGCTGTCCTCACCCACCTTCCTCCTCCTCCGCCCTTCAAGAGTTGAGGTTCACAGAATCCCAGAATCCCAGACCGTTAGGGATTGGAAGGGACCTCCAAAGCTCATCCAGTCCAATCCCCTGCCGGAGCAGGACATGAGGTCACACAGGAAGGCATCCAGGCGGGTTTTGAATGTCTGCAGAGAAGGAGACTCCACAACCTCTCTGGGCAGCCTGGGCCAGTGCTCTGTCACCCTCACTGAGAAGAAGTTTCTTCTCCAATTGAAGTGGAACCTCCTGTGTTCCAGCTTGTGTCCGTTACCCCTTGTCCTGTCATTGTTTGTCACCGAGAAGAGCCTGGCTCCATCCTCGTGACACTCACCCTTTCAATATTTCTAACCATGAATGAGGTCTCCCCTCAGTCTCCTCTTCTGCAAACTAAAGAGCCCCAGCTCCCTCAGCCGCTCCTCAGAAGGGAGATGCTCCACTCCCTTGATCATCTTTGTAGCCCTACGCTGGACTCTCTCCAGCAGTTCCCTGTCCTTCTTGAACTGAGGGGCCCTTCTTGAACTGAGGGTTCCTGCTCATGGTCCCCGTCCCCATGTCCCATCACCCCTGCAGGGCTGAGAAATCCTCTTCCTCCACCCCAGCTGAGCCCAGCGCGATCGAACCCCCAGACTCCTCTGAGTTTAACGTATTTGTCCCCTTCCCCTGCCCAGTAGCCCTGGTGGGGTTGTACTTGTCTCAGTGTCATCATTCCTCCTCCTCCTCCTTCTCCTTCTCCTCGCTTCTCCTTCTCCTTCTCCTCGCTTCTCCTTCTCCTTCTCCTCGCTTCTCCTTCTCCTTCTCCTCGCTTCTCCTTCTCCTTCTCCTCGCTTCTCCTTCTCCTTCTCCTCGCTTCTCCTTCTCCTTCCCCTCGCTTCTCCTTCTCCTTCTCCTCGCTTCTCCTTCTCCTTCTCCTCGCTTCTCCTTCTCCTTCTCCTCGCTTCTCCTTCTCCTTCTCCTCGCTTCTCCTTCTCCTTCTCCTCGCTTCTCCTTCTCCTTCTCCTCGCTTCTCCTTCTCCTTCTCCTCGCTTCTCCTTCTCCTTCTCCTCGCTTCTCCTTCTCCTTCTCCTCGCTTCTCCTTCTCCTTCTCCTCGCTCCTCGCTTCTCCTCCTCTTTCTCCTTCTCCTCGCTTCTCCTCCTCTTTCTCCTTCTCCTCGCTTCTCCTCCTCTTTCTCCTTCTCCTCGCTTCTCCTCCTCTTTCTCCTTCTCCTCGCTTCTCCTCCTCTTTCTCCTTCTCCTCGCTTCTCCTCCTCTTTCTCCTTCTCCTCGCTTCTCCTCCTCTTTCTCCTTCTCCTCGCTTCTCCTCCTCGTTTCTCCTTGTTTCTCCTTCTCCTCTTTCCTTTTTCCAGGGAGAACTACTTGTTCACCTGCTCGTGTCCCAAGTGCCTAGCGCAAGCCGACGACGCCGACGTGACGTCAGATGAAGAGGAGGAGGGCGAAGGGGAGACGGACGACGCGGAGCTGGAGGACGAGATGACCGACGTTTGATCCTGGCAGGAGGAGCGGGAAGGGACGAGGGGAGTTCTCCGAGAGGCGGCAGCTTTACTTTTAGAGACGGGGTTGTGTCGTGGGGTCGGGTGGGAGCCACGCGCCGGCGACCAGAGGTCGGGAGCTGGAGGCAGGCCCTGCTCCCGCCTGTCCTTGTTGTGCGCTGTGTGTGTGTGTTGGGCTGTCCCCGTCCTCCCTGTCCCCATTCTCCCTATTCTCCCTGTCCCTGCCGTGTCCCAGGCTGGCTGGCGCTTGCCGGGGAGGCTGGAGGAGAGCAAGGGTAGGGGACATCGTGGTGGTCACCCCGTGAGGCTGCTCCGCCGCGTCCGTGCCGGCCGTGGGCGCGGAGGAGCGTGGCCTTTCCTACACGTGTGTGTGTGTGTGTGTGTGTCTGTGCACGAGGGGTCCTATTTAATGTCTATATTAGCACTACTACACACCGAGGAGCTGGGTCCTTATATATTCTCCATTCCATGCCTTGACTCGGCGAGCGGCGAGGGCCAAAACCATTTTTCAGGTGGGACGGGGCCACCTCGGGGTGGCTCAGACGCCCGAGTCCAGCAGGGAGAGCAGAGTTGACCCTGGCAGTTGCCCCCCTCCCGCCTCAACCCCATCCTTTACGCAGTACAAAGGCAGTGATTGCCAGGCTTTTTTTGGGGAGGCGGAAAGCCAGGCTGCTGCTAGCCCAGAGCCTGCATGGGCTATGGTGTTGGGGAAGCGAAGTGACCGTTGAAAACCCAAAATATTTAGGGTTTTGAGAGCGTGAGCCATCCCACTGGGCCATTCGGCTGTGGGATGCGCACTGCGGAGCTGTCCCTGTTGGCTGAGTGTTGTCATCCACCCCACGCCCCGTTTGGGGACCGGGCAGCGGGTTGGGGACGTGCCCGGGATATTTTCCTCCCCTCTTGGATTTTTGGGGAGCTGTTTTCCTGCTGCCGCCTCCTCTGATCGCGGGCCCGAGGGTGACGCTGTCGCTGGGCGCTTCCGACACTGCCATCACCCTGCACCCCACTGCTCGTCCCCAGCCGTCCCGGGGCCCAGGCCCCTTCAGTGTTCGTAATAAACCAAAACTGGTGAGAAGCGGGGTGGTGGTGTTTGTGCTGGTGAACTGGAGGGCAGAAACGAGGAGCTGGTCCCAGCGGGGACGTGGAGGTGAGGGAAGAGGCACCCGCTGAGGTCTGGGTTTGCCACCAGCCCGCCCTTTGGGGACCACGCTGTCCCCTGAGGCTGTTTCTGCCCCATGGAGGCCTGACGTGAGCCCTGCCACAGCTGCAGGAAGCACCTGGGGAAGTTTACTGTGAAAAACATCGTTAGGGGATGAGATTTGTTGTTTTGATGAAGAAAGAGAAACTCAGCTTTCTCTAAAACTCACTCAAACTTCATTAGCTCAGACAAAAATATACAGATACGGGGCGAGCCCTGCTGGTATCTCGCTCTCCCTCCCTTCCCCAACTGCACCCCTCTCAATCAGCAGCACAAATTACTGGTGGCATCTCACAACGTCATTAAAACGTTGTTTTGGGGAGTTTCTGGCCTGCTCTGGGCCATCACCTCCCTCCTAAAAAGTCACTGGGTGCCAAGCTTGAGGTTTCCACCCCGGGCGCTGGTGTTTGCCCTTCAGCCAGAAAGCAGAAAGGTCTCCCCCGTTGCTGAATTTGGTGACCTCAAACCTGGTCCCTGGGGCGAGCCACTGAGAAATCCTCGATTCGCCGCTTCCCGTGGCTACCAGAAGGTCCAGGGGGGCTGCATCATTTCGTAGGTGGGGATGCTGGTGACGTTGACGGGAATGGAGATGACGGCCCAAGGGAGCCCGTGCTGCTCCAGGGAGCGTCGGATCATGTACCTGCAAGGACAAAAAGGTGACGGGAGGACCTGAGCTGATGGAGCTGGGAGCCCATAAATCAGCTCCAAAAGGATTAATTATGACCGAATCCGCTACAAATCTGCCTCGCCCAGCCCAGGGACGTGGCCAAGACACCTTACCCGTCCCTGCCCAGCAGGAAGAGCGCGGGGATGTCGGCCGTGCGCCTGGAGCTGTCCTGGATCATCTCGATGTAAAAGCTGTCGTTGTCGTAGGCGTTATCGGCGATGATCACCGCCCGGCCGCCGTGCTCCTGGATCACGCGCGTCTTCGACAGGAACGAGCAACCCCTGGGGCGAGACAGCGGGAAATTTTCAGGGGCCGCTTGGCAGGACGCGAGAAGAGGTCACGAGATGCGACCACGGCACTGTCACCCTCTGCAGGGTCCCCCGTCCCCCCAAAACAGCTCCCGTGCCGCTGGACGTACCCCCTCTCCACCAAAGCGATCTGGTCCTGGATGAAGACTCCATTATTCAGCTCTCCGCAGGCTTCGGGGGGATCCGCCGGGACCAGGTGGATCTGCTCGTACCTTGTGTTCTCCGAGAAGAAGACGGGCAAGGGGTAAGCGAGGGGGGATCGGGGCTGCTTCCCATCCCCGCTGGCCCATGCCCTGCTCATCATCCCCCAGGGGTGAGCTTTTGGGGAGATTTAGGGCTGCTGGTTGCCCCTTTCCAGCCACTCAGAGCCACAGCAGCTTGCCTAGGGAGGGGAAACTGAGGCATGGCACCATCCATACGCACAAATGCGCCCGAAGAACACGTGCAGAAACAAAAAATGTCTTTTCTTCCGTTCCTCGGTGTCCCACGTGCTTCTGAGCAGATCTGCTCCTGCATTCCCATCCCACCTCCAGGTTTATTTAGGGAAAGTCTGCAGACTGGCTGGTTTCACCCTGCTCTTCCCAGCCCTCCTGGGATGTGGCTTCCCACCCTGTCTCAGCCCTCAGAGGAGGAAAGAGCGGGACGTGTGCTCCCCAGACACACATGGGGCCAAAGTCCCCCCCCTAAAACCTGCTGAGGCTGAAGGCCGGGACCAGTGTGTGCCTCCTTCCTTGTGGAAGAGCAATTCGCTCTGGTTTTGTAACAGGTTTCAAATCACCAGGTCCCACAATGGAGAAATATTAAGATGGGGGGGGGGGGGGGAACCCAAGACAAATTTAATACTTACAAACACGCCCCCGAAATCCTTGGCTGGAGTGGCGGTGAAGATGTAGCGGATGTCTCCAGGGCTCAGCACTTGGAAGTACAAGTATTCATGGATACGTAAACCTGGGTGTGCATGGAGAGAGGTGAGAGGCAGAGAAAACCAAAGGGAAAATTCCTGAGAAGCCACCTCCTGGCTGGGCACTGGGGCTGAGGACCCAAAATGCTGGGGTGCTGCGAGAGGAGATGGGACAAAGGCACCGTGACGGGGGGGGAAGAAGGGGAAAATGGGGCCATGGAGGGGATAGGGGTGATGTGCATCTGGATTGGGGTGTGCAGAGGGGGAATGCAGCCAGATTAGGGTGCAGTAGGGGAAATTTAATGGGGTCAGGGTGCACGGAGGGGAAATGCACCCAGATTGGGGTGTAGGAGGGGAAAGGCACCCGGATTGGAGTGCAGGAGGGGAAATACACCCGGATTGGGGTGCACTGAGGGGAAAGGCACCCGGATTGGGGTGCAGGAGGGGAAATGCAATGGGGCTGGGGGGCACTGAGGGGAAATGCACCCGGCTTGGGGTGCAGGAGGGGAAAGGTACCGGGACCAGGCTGCGCAGAGGGGAAATACACCCGGATTGGGGTGCACTGAGGGGAAAGGCACCCGGATTGGAGTGCAGGAGGGGAAATACACCCGGATTGGGGTGCACTGAGGGGAAAGGCACCCGGATTGGAGTGCAGGAGGGGAAATACACCCGGATTGGGGTGCACTGAGGGGAAAGGCACCCGGATTGGAGTGCAGGAGGGGAAATACAATGGGGCCGGGGTGTAGGAGAGGAAATGCAGCCAGATTGGGGTGCGAGGGGGAAAGGCACCCGGGTTGGGGTGCACTGAGGGGAAACGCAGCCAGGCCGGGGTGCACGGGGGGGC